TACATATATGACCCCCCCCCCACATCCCACCTTCTAGCACAAGTCCTTTCCACTCCCAAAGGCCCCTCAGTACATATGTAACCCCCCACCCCACCTTCTAGCACAAGTCCTCTCCCCTTCCAAAGCATCCCCCCTATAAACATCTGTCCCTCACTCCACCCCACATTCTAGCACAAGTCCTCTACCTCCCAAAGCAACCCCCCAGCCATACCCGGAGCCTGGGTTTTGTCTAACCATGTCCTTTAAGCCCCTCCCACTGCAAAGTGTGGCCACACCCACAAAAATGGCTCCTAACTTTTTTAGCTGGATCCTAGATTTAAAGAATAAGTTCACCTTTTGTAACATGTTACACCCATATTCAGGGTGTAACATGTTACGAACTGGCCACCGCTCCTCCCCGCTCCCCATTGTGACAGCTAGTGGGGGATCTTCTCCTCCCCGCTAGATGTCACAATTTTAAAAAAAAACGCAGCTATGCGGGGCTCTGTCCACCTGCCCATGTCATTCATTTATGGTGTTCTGTGAATGAATGAACTACAAGTCCCGACAGGCTTAGCGGCTGTCGACTTGTAGTTATGAATGAACTACCATGGTGCTGTGGAGCGCCATGGTAGTTCATTGATTTATCCGGTCAGTATATCTGCTTGCAAAAATACTGACAGGTTTGCAGGAGACCTACATGGCATCATCAATCTGATGATCACTTCACCCTATCCTGTCACTACAGCAGCCACAACACACTGATTATAACTGCTCTCTACCTTCCTCCTGTCGATGCCCTCCTCACTGTAACTTTATGTTTAGTTTTTGTTTTAGCCCACAGGTTCACCTTAAAATATTAAGCCAGGAGAACATCATTTGGATACAGAATCTGAATTTGGTAGACCTTATTAATATGAGTCTCATCTGTTAAAGACTGAAGAGGGTAAAACTTAAACATTATTGAAACCTTAAATGTTTGGGGAAAGACAACAATGCATTTATGACACTTTTCTGGCATTATGGCCGTATTAGAACGTCCTTTGCCAAATTCATAAAAGCAGCAGTTTTCTTGCTATATATGGCATGTGCAACAAATTCAGGTAGCTCTTATGTTTGACTTGGTGGCATTACGGCTGTGGCAAATTCATTAAGAAATATTACCATACCAGTAATAGGAAAAGTAGAGATAAATAAGACCTCTTCCATGTTAGAGTAAATTGTGTTGTACATGTAAGTATTTTGTTGCAGACGAAATTCTGTTTGAGGCAAAATTCTACTGAGGCAATAATGCAAAAGATTCATACAGTATATGCCTCGCTGATAGTTGAATGAATCTGTCTTAAGTTGTGCCAACTTTGTTTCACAGACAGGAGATACTGTAGATTTCTAATGTGTATCTACAACTTTCTTATGAATTTCAAGGAATGTGTGTTATTATATTACTTGTGCTAATTAAATGATCAATACAGAATTGAAGAAAAAAAGTTTATGTGGAGAGAATGATTGCCTATCTTCAGATCAATACAAATCAACTGAAGGAAAATATTGCACAGTACATTCCCTACAGCCACAGTTTAGTTTATAGGCCATTATGAAAATTAGAAGGATTGTCTTTCAGATATTGTTGATACACTTCAGATATATGTGATCACAAAGAGATTTTTGTACGACATATGAGAAATTCCTAGTCATTTTCAGAGTCCAAAGAAAGCACACTGGCTAGAGCCCTTGCTAAGAAAGACATTGGAGATCTGGTACACATACAGTATATACATAGTTATTCTTTTTTTGGAAAGATGTCCTTGGAATTCTGACAACCATGCTGAAAGCATGGATCTTGTGTTTAATGTGTCAGACTGTTGGACCAATTTAGAAATGCTGTAGGTGGAATTTATCATCCCTCACGAAGTTCCGAAAATAAGAAAAGTGAGAGCATCAAAATGAATAAATATTCATATCCATACTGATACTTACCAAATGTAGTGGGCTGATAAGCATTGGTATATTCCATAGTATTGCCCTTAACAGCCCTAAGGTGGACATAAACATATAGATTTGCAGGCTTAGTGAAAAATATGTAACAGATTCCTCTATCCTCACTACACAGCTCGTATGGACAAATCTTCCAGCTGTAGCTATCGTATTTTGACAGCAGGCCTCACTGGTTGTAGTATATGATAAGCAAAGGCAGTCTTAGATGATAGGAAAATACATTGCCTGTAAAATAAAATGAAAGAGCCCATGCAAATTCAGCTATATTTACATTTAAATATCACAGATTACAATATTTATATCACAGATTATAAGGGAGTGCACAGAAAAAGCTGTTTGCTTTCAGACTCACTCTAATTAAATATACATGTGGCCTGCCTGAGCAGAGTAGCCAGAGAGAGAGGTAGTACGTAAGTAAGTAAGTAAGTACACTGACAGCTATATGTGTAAATGCAGACGTACCTCGGTTTATGAACGCCTCAGTTAACGTAATTTTCAGTTTACAAATTAAAATCCATGGAAAATAATGCATCTGCTTACAAATTTTTTTCACAATACGAATGGATTAATTGGTTTTCAATGCATTTACAAATTTTTTTTTAATCATGTCCCGTACAGTACTATGCCTTTAAAGTGCACTTTCTAAAGAGTTTTGAACAGATAAGACTTTTTTTTACTTTTTTCTGACCTCTGGAAAGGATTAATTGGTTTTCCATGCATTTACAAATTTTTTTCGCAATACAAACGGGTTAATTGATTTTCAATGCATTTACGAATTCATTTTTAATCATGTCCCTGTACAGTATTTATGTCTTTAAAGTGCACTTTATAAAGAGTTTTGAACAGATAAAATACTTTTTTCTGACCTCCGGAACGGATTAATTGGTTTTCAATGCATTCCTATGGGAAACTGCGTTTCGGTTTACAAATTTTTCACAATAGAAAAAGTCCCACAGAATGCATTAAATTTGTAAACCGAGGTATGCTTGTATACCCTTACGTTGTTGAGCCCTGTACAATAAGCCGTTATTTGCTATGTAGTTAAAGTAGTATTAAACTCTTAGCAATTTTCACATTAACACATGTTGATCAAGCTTATTAACATTTACCAGTAAGGTTTTTCTTAATATTTTCCCCAAACACTTCCAGTTTGTAAATTTTCAAACCCCTAGTTCTAGCTTTCTTAACCCTGCGCATACAGTACACTGGGCACTGAACAAGAAACAGTTAACTAGTGACAGTGAAGTCTTCAGTGCTGTTAATCAATTCGCTTTGAGGTGGGAGGATGGTGGAACAGGTATGTGGCTCTGTTTGTCCTGACCAGGGGCGGACTGACCATTTGGAAACTCGGGCCCTGCCCAAGGGCGCGGGGTCAGTAGGGGGCCCCATGAGATGCCCCTGGTACCTTTTTCATAGGCTTTTTTGAGTTTGGGCAAGGACGCAGGGGCCCCATGATCCCCTATTGCCCGGGGGCCCCATGAGTTGTCAGTCCGCCCCTGGTCCTGACACATACAGTGTAGAGACATTCAGCTTTACCCCTGGCCTTGGAGAGTGCACACAAGGATGGCTTCATAGGGTCCTGCAAACAGGAGAGTAAGATGGTGATCAGTGGACCAAATTAATTCTGTGGAAAGCAAGAAGAGTTAAAAATGCAAGAAAAGAACTTAAGCTTTGATATCATTTTAAGATTAGTGTTGTAAACATTTGAAAAGTAGCTCACATCTCTACTGTATATGCTGGCTTGAAATAGTCAGACATGAAATATTCACAAGCAATAGTTAATATATGCCTGGTTAAGAAAATGAAAAATGAATAAAGTGAAAAAAAATGAATATTTTCTAGCCAAGAATCTATTTATTTAAGAAAGAAAAGATGTACAAAAACAACTATACATGCAGCTTTATGTGACTCCATCTAATTCAACAAATTATAAAAAAAAAAAAAAAAGAAAACATTCCACAGCTGATCCAGATGAAGTAAAAATCCCTTACATAAAAAATGTCCCCTGAAAGCAATCAGATAATCCCTGGATCAACAATATCTGATGTTATTACCTAAAAATGTTAGTGTCCAGTTAAATTTTATGCAGTTCATTTCTTAAAACAACCTACTGATCTGGCAATAACGAGTTCTTTAGGGAGTCTATTCCACTTTTTCACAGCTCTTACTGTGAGAAGCCTTTCCATATGTGAAGTTTAAATCTCGTTTCCTCCAGATCTAAAGAATTCCCCCTTGTCCTTTGTAATGACCTGAAAGTGAATAACCCTGTACTAAGTTCACAATATGAACCACCTACGTATTTTTATTTATACATGTTAATCATACCCAGCCCCCTCCTCCATGCCTCTTCTCAGTTTTGTTCCCCATTCTCAGAATTTTCTCCAGTTCTCGAATATCTTTTTTGTTACCTGGTGCCCAAAACATAACTGCATATTCCTCTCTGGAGTCTATACCTCTTTTAATACAAGAAAGTGTTCTGCTATCTTTGGAAACTGCAACTTGGCATTACATGCTAATATTAAGTCTATGATCTACCTGAACACCCAAATCCTTCTGAAACACAGTCCCCCAACCAGGGGCGGACTGACAACTCAGGGGGCCCCCTGGGCAATAGGGGATCATGGGGCCTCTGTGTCCTTGCCCAAACTCAAAAAAAGCCTATGAAATAGGTACCAAGGGCATCTCATGGGGCCCCCTACTGACCCCGGGCCCTCGGGCAGTGCCTGTCAGGGAGCGAGGAGCCAGACACACAAGGAGGTGCAATTAAAGGTAGGTTTATTTTACAAAAACAAGAAAGAGTCTATGCAAGTCCAACAGCAACAGCGGATGACTTGGTAGAACAGTAGCCAGGAAGGATGGTCGCCAGAGCCGGGGCCAGAAGCCAGGAAGGATGATCGCCAGAGCCGGGGTCAGAAGCCAGGAAGGATGGTTGCCAGAGTCGGCGTCAGAAGCCAGGAAGGATGGTCGCCAGAGTCGGAGTCAGAAGCCAGGAAGGGGTCTTGCCAAAGCCGAGTTGGTATCCAGGAGAGCAATGAGAAAACAGGAGCTTGCTGCTGTGCAACAGACAGGACACGAATGCAATGGACAGCTACAAACAGCAGACTTATATGTGATCAGCTGCCACCTCCTGGGGGAGGAGCCGCAGGGGGCTGAAAGCATAAAGGATCCCACAATACTTTGCAGACACCTAAGATGGATGCCAGCACATGAAGCAGCACAAGTCCTGAGGAAAGGTAGGACCTCTACAGTGCCCGAGTTTCCAAATGGTCAGTCTGCCCCTGCCCCCAACTGTTTTCCTCATAGAATGTATGATTGTATGCATGTTTTTAGCCTCCCAAGTGCATAACTTTACACTTCTCAAAAAATATGCCAGCCATTCCAAATCACCAAGTGTGAATGGGGCCTAAAACCTAATTTTCCACATAGCTGCATAATTAAATAGTGCATTGAGGTTGGCATGAAACCTGCAGACATCCTGTAAGGAAGTTATTCCACTACACAGCTTAGTGTCATCTGCTAACAGTGAAATTGTACTTTTAATCACAAACTCTATATCATTTATAAATAGGTTAAAAAGTAAGGGTTCCAACACCGAACTCTGGGGTACACTACTAACAGTGGCATCCCGAGGCAGGTGCGAGGGGTGCGGCCTGCAGCGGGTGACACCTACCGCATCGGGTGACATCGGACCATTCCACAAAAAGGTAAGTTGTAAAGAAAGCCGACGATCCCCGCAGGAAGGATCGGATCTGCGGATTGGGAAGCATAATGGATCAGAGTCTGATCCATTATGCTCAATCCGCAGATCCGATCATCGGAGGGGGTGTCACCAACTGTTATCGCACCCGGTGACACCAACCCTAGGGACGCCTCTGACTACTAATAACCTTATACCATTAAGAGCTTGGATCATTAACCACTACTCTTGAATATGATATTTTTATCCAGTTTCCTACCCATTTAAAAACATACTTTTCTAGGCCTATACACTTTAACGTAGCCTTGATTTCCTTTTTATATATTTTGTTATATTCTTTCTAACTTTCAACTGATGATAGTGTTCCTTCAAACTTATAATTTTTAAATACCCTTTTCTTTATCACTTTTTTTAACTTTGGATGTAAGTCAAAGAGTTTTTTTTTTTTAGTCTTTTAAACTTATCCATTTGGAAGGTATTTTGCAGTGTGTTTAGACACAAACTTTCTTCCCAGTCTAGTCTTTGAGAACATCCATCAACTTTATAAAATTTGCTCTTAAAATTCTTTTTATTTATCCAGTGTTTGTTCTTTACAGTTAACATTAAATGAAATAATTTTATGGTTACTGCTACCCAGATGTTCTTTATATGAACAATGGAAATACGCTCCACAATCTTTGAAATGATCAGGTCCAACAGAGCATCATTTCTAGTTGGGACTTCTATAAACTATTCCATAAAATTATTTTGTAATAGGTTTATAAATTGTTGCCCTTTCCCTGTTCCAATAGTGCCATTACTCCAGTCACCCCAGCTCACACAGGGCAAAGCCAAAAGTTCACTTTAACCTAACTCTTCCCACTGTGTATGCTTACCTTCTTTTCACTCTTCACCTTCTGTTTATATGCTGGGAACAAAGGAAAGTCCTATTTAAGCTAATAATTACTGGCGTCAATTAAATCAAAAAGCATATGTGGAGGATGGATATGGGGTTAATATTCCCTCCGGAGGTACCATCCCTATATATCAAATATAACCCCAACACTTATAATTGGGACTACAAATGTACCTCCTGAGGTATAATACAAAAAGGAATAGCAATGCATAAAAACAGTATTTTATTGTTGCCATATACATATATCACAAACAAACATTGTAAAAGACATAAAATGAATAATGTTGCTTGAGGTATAGCCATATATCTGCTCAGAGAAAGAATGGAGAGAAAAAAAAAAAAAGAGAGAAATAATGTATATATGTGTGTGTGTGTGTATATATACTATATATATGTGTGTATATATATATATATATATATATATATATATAGCAATCAAAAACATCCTATGGCAATATAGACCTACCTCCATTTATAAAGGCCTTACGTTAAATATCAATATCTTATAACATAACAGACTTCAAGAACAGATATAACGTCACTAGCTGCACATCTCCATTGAATTACTGAATCTATGACTCCAGCCATATATTGCCTATAAAGGCTGAATAATATAAATGGAGGTAGGTCTAATATTGCCATTAGGATGTTTTTGATATATATATAAAGAAGATATATTAGTCTTTTCCATTTGTTATGCAGTAGTTCCTTGAAAGTGTTAAGATTGTTGTGGTCCATGATCAAGCCACTCCCCACAGGCCCAGCAGGCGTTTACACATATACATAATTTTTTTCCCTCTCCATTCTTTCTCTGGGACCTTTCTGATTTTGCCTCGCAATTCAGAGTGGGTACTTACCAACTGAGTTTAATTATATCAACTATGTTTATGTCATAAAATTGGTGTATATGATTATTTACAGTGCTGTGATTGTTACATTATGTCATTAGCTATATATAATTTGTCCTAGTTTGTGTATAACAAGATCCAAAGCCCTGAGGAAGCGTTTTTTCTGCAAAATGCGTCAGCCGTTTAAGACTAGGACCTTATGAACAGATATATGGTTACACCTCAAGCGAAATTATTCATTTTATAAGTCTTTTACGATGTTTGTTTGTGATATATGTATATAGCAACAATAAAATACTGTTTTTTATGCATTGATATTCTTTTTTGTATTATTCCTCGGGAGGTACATTTATAGTCCCAATTAAGATTCTTGTGGTTATATTTAATTACTGGAGTCATAGCTTATCTAGGGCTATGGACTACCCACTGTCAGGGCTCGACTCCTGCTATTCAACGAGAAGCTCTTTTCTTTCAGTGTTCAGAAGCTGTCGGTTAATTACCAGCCACTCAGTGTCTCCACAGTGACTTACTGGGATACCATTACCTACCTCATTAGTCCAGCCTACAGCCAGCCCTTTTTGCTATTTTAGCAGCTTAGCTCATTTCCTCATCCTTGTGTGGTCTATGATCTCCAGTGTGTTCCTGCCTGTGTTCCTGTGTACAATTCAGTCTGTCTGACTTCTCTTATGATTCCTGTTCCTGACTTTTGGCTCCTGACTATTCTGACTTCTGGTTTCCTGACACTGGCACATCTGATTACCCGCTCTGCCATCCAAACCATGGCTGTTTTGACTATGTTCCTGAACTGTGTTATTTTACTATTTCATTAAAGGTGTGATTTCAACTGCACTTTCAGTCTCCACCTGGTGTATGGTTCCTGACACCCATTTGGCTAGTGCTGTCCAATGGAGTGAATCACTCGCTCTTCCATACTCGGAAGTATAGGGGGTTTCTGTCTGCTCCTGGCACAAAACTGAGTGTGGGGTGGGTGGGGGGGGGGGGGTAAGCATAATCTTTAAGAGGAATGGGACATTACCTGCACCTCTAACCAGATTATAGACATTAAAGTACTTACATATTCTTACCAAGCCCTAATAAAACTTTAAAACATTAAAACATTCCTACATTGACTTCTGTGTCTACAGAGACTGTAGAGTAATTCATCCTCAAAGATCACACTTAAATGAAGCACAGCTCTGTTTGTCAATTTCTAATAGCCATGACACTCAGGATGGTTTTAAAGTGATTTCCCATATATAAATGCTTTAATGTGTATAGTTTATAGTGGGTCTTTGAACTATGCAGATATATTACTTTCTTAATCCCTGAAACCTTCAGACACCCAGAGCAGTGTGCTACAGCCAGGGTGGGGTAGGAGTGAGATTTCTGCTGTTCTTTAAGCTGTTATAGGATAATCATATTATTAGCTAATATTACACAATGTGATACTATTAATCAAACAGTAACATTTTAGTTAAACAATTAGTTAGGAATGCTAGGAGGAGACTGACTCACATTCTTAGGAATAGCTACAGTACTTCAGTACAAGATGCCATTCACAGCTGCTTTGTCAATTAGGGACAATCTTTTCTGTAATGAGGAATCTGTGCCTATTGAAAAGTCCCAGTGAAATAAAGTCATGTGCACTTGGTTCACATGCACCCAGCTGCCTAACTACAGAGTAACAAGGCAAGATAGCTTACACAGCTGAAATAATTGCTGATTGTAAAGAAAGAAAGTGGAAAATGTAGATAACAAGTATCTTAGAGAAAGAGAAGCTAGTGAGATATTGATTCTAGCTCTCTGGAGCTTAGGGTTCAATTCTTGAAACCGTAATATTACTGTTAAGCCATAATTGACAACAAATGGAAATAATTCATGGGAAATGTCCATTTTTAGCACTAGTGAAATATACTAGCAATACTATGATAGACATCTAATTACTAAGATAGGTTTTGTTACTAAGAATTAATATACATTTCATATGTTTAGGGGCGGACTGAGAACTCATGGGACCTCCGGGCAATAGGGGATCATGGGGCTCCTGTTTCCTTGCCCAAACTCAAAAAAGCCTATGAAAAAGGTACCAAGGGCATCTCATGGGGCCCCCTACTGACCCTGGGCATGGCCCGAGTTTCCAAATGGTCAGTCCGCCCCTGTAAGTGATACATGTCTGTCTGCTATATACATAGCAAGTACCCTTCTCTTTTAGATTGTCTGTCTTGTTGCTTCAAGTTCTTACAAATAAGGTTACAGTCCACACTATATGACTTTTGGAAGCTGCTTTCTTTAAATTAAAGCAAACCTGTCACAAGAGAATTACAGAGGCTGCTTTTTGCCAATCTTATTATAAAAATGCTTATTTCCTGGCTACTACACTGATCCACTAGAATTAGTATTTTGTAACAAAATGATCCACAACAGTTGTAAACAGGGGCGGACTGACCATTTGGAAACTCGGGCACTGCCCGAGGGCCCAGGGTCAGTAGGGGGTCCCATGAGATGCCCCTGGTACCTTTTTCATAGGCTTTTTTGAGTTTGGGCAAGGACACAGGGGCCCCATGATCCCCTATTGCCGGGGGCCCCATGAGTTGCCAGTCCGCCCCTGGT